TAGTTGACATATGTTATATTAGTTTCAGGTATAACATAGTGAACTGACAATTCTATACATTAGACAATGCTCATCATAATAAGTGTAATTACCATTTGTCACCATATGTTATTAGAATATTACTGACTTGGGGCATTTGGCTGGCTCAGTCATGAGATTCTTGATCTTGGGATCATGCGATTCTTGATCTTGGGATCATGAACCCTATGTTGGGTGTGGAACCTACTTTAAAAAAAGGGGGGGCACCTGGGTGGCTCAGTCAGCTGAACAACTGACTTTTGATTTCGACTCAGGTCATGATCCTGGGGTTGTGATCAAGCCCCATGTCAGGCTCCACATGGAGTGTAGAGCCTGCTTGACATTTTTTTTTCTCTCTCTCTCCTTCTGCCCTTTTCCCCTGCTTACACTCTCTCTCTGAAATATAAAAGTAAAGAATATTACTATGTTCCCTACACTTTATTTTTCATACTCATGATTTATTTACTTTTTAACTGGAAGTTCTTTCTTTTGCTGCATAAAGAGGATATCCAGTTTTCCTAGTATCGTTTGTTGAAAAGACTCTTTACCCTATTTAATCATCTTGACACTCTTTTTGCAAATCAACTGCATATAAATATAAGGGTTTATTTCTAGTAGAGAAATCTGCTTGTATTATATCTTTGACTACATTCTCTCCCATTTGTTGAGTTCTCTATTTTAGGAACCCTAATTATTTTTATGCTGGATCATCTTTGTTTTCTCTAATAGCTCTCATCTTTGTCTCTTATTTTGCACTCATTCACCTGCCTTTCTTCATGTTAGTAATTAAATTTTGTAAGTTTTGTAAGTTTTTTATTTTTATTTTAAATTTATTGTTAGTTTTTTTGTTTTTGTTTTTTTTTTTTTTTTTTTTTTGAGAGAGAGCATGCATGAGCAAGGGAGGAGAAGAGAGAGAGTGGGAGAGAGAATCTCAAGCAGGCTCTGTACTATCAGCCTAGAGCTCCATGCAGGACTCAGACTCACAAACCATGAGATCATGACCTGAGCCAAAATCAAGAGTCAGATGCTTAACTGACAAAGCAACCCAGGTGCCCCTATTTTTTATTTTTTGAGAAAGAAACAGAGACAGAGAGAAAATCCCAAGCAGGCTTCACGCCTAGTGTGGAGTCCCACATGGGGCTTGATCTCATGACCATGAGATCAGGACCTGAGCCAAAACCAAGAGTTGGCTGTCCAGGCGCCCCAGTAATTAAATTTTCAACAGTATCTATTTTATATACAATTCTTTATAATGAATTTCATAATAATGATTGTCCTCAATATATTTCCTTAGATCTGTAACTCTTTTTTCAATTTTATTATCTTGTTTTTTTTTATCATATTGAACTCATGTTTTTATTAATTTGTTTTGTAACATAAATCATTTGTGAGCAATCTGCTTCTGTTCCATGAGCTTTATTTCCTACTCAGTTGCTTTCTTTGTCTTTGTGTCTTCTATGTGCTGTATTACTTCCACCTTTGTTTAGTTTAATTTGGCTGTTATTTGTTTGCATAGTTGCCATGTTGTTTCTCTGTTCCATCCATGCCTGATATTATTGAGGGTGACTTCTTTGTGTTTCACGTTAGTGCAGAAGCTCATTTGCTTTCATGACTCTACTACAGTTTGGGACTTGAGGTGACTGTAATAAATCCTTTCTTCAATAAGGGAATATAAAGTTTGGGACAGTGTTCATCTGTGGTAGAGTGCACTCTTCATGAGTATCCCTCTTTTTAGCACATAGTAGTTCATTTGAAATGGTATTTAAGATCCTCTGCTGGGAACATGTGACATTGGGGTATGTCTACCCTTCCCTTGTGAGGTATCTTTGGGTTTTGGACAGTTTCCTCAACTCAGTATGGAGCCCTTGATCTTTCCTTCCATCTCAGGGAGTCACCTCAATGTTTGTGTTCTTCCATTTTTCTCTCCAAAAGTTGTCCTATTCCTCCTCAGTCAGAAGAGAAGAAAGGGACTCAATTTGATTTGCTTCTCCTGACATTTGAGGGATTTAGTGAGACATCTCAGGAGTATATTGATTCCACAGTCCTACTTCTGGAAGTTAGGAGTAGAATATGGGCATTTTTCTTGTGTATTTTTCCACCTGACTCAAGAATATCCTCTGAAGTTTGAATCTCAAATATATAATCTCCATCAAGTGCACTTAAAGAAATTTGCTTTTCCAGTTACCATTGACAAATGCCTAACATTAGTTACATGCTATCCTTGGCAAGTGACTATGTATTTCTATAGCTTTACAGTATTCAATCTCTGATACTGTGAATTTCACTCATCTGTTTCTCTGTTCTGCTACTTCCCTAAAATTGGGGGGTTAAAAAAAAAATCCTTGGCCTTTAGATAGAAAGCAGCTCCCAGGTTGGCTCCAAGGTGAAAATGGGTCCCTTACTGGATTAGATACATACATGCCATTACAATTCCTGCTTGAGAATGCACATAGTTTTACTGTTGCACTATTTTGTTAATAAATTCTGTGGAACACATCCCTCCAATTTTAGTTTATTCCTCCTTTTTCTCTCATTTCTACTTATAACCACCCCTACCAACTACCTACATTTCACTGTTAAACTGTTTATATAAAGGTGATTTAAAAACATTTTTTTATTGTTTTCTTTATTTCTGAGAGAGAGAGAGGGAGAGAGAGACAGAGACAGAGACAGAGACAGAGACAGAGACAATGTGAGCAGGGGAGGGTCAGAGAGAGAGGAAGACACAGAATCTGAAGACAGGCTCCAGGCTCCAAGCTAGCTGTCAGCACAGAGCCTGACGCGGGGCTCAAACCCACGAACCGTGAGATCATGACCTGAGCTGAAGTCGGACGCTCAACCAACTAAGCCACCCAGGCGCCCCTATATAAAAGTGATTTTAAAGCTTCCCTGTATTATCTCTGGGCATTTGGCTGAAAGGCATTGCCTCCATTTTACAACTAATTATCGAACAAATCCGGAGATTTTGCAGTATTTGGTAACAAAAGTGCTAATGCTTCAGTGGCAGTGTTCATAAGAAAATGTTAATTTTTAGGGTAAAAGTTTAATTAGAAATTGTCTTTGGGGAATATGATATTAGGTAATGTTTACAGATGTTTTTAAAGGAAGGCAAAAGATTGCCACTAAAAATTAAAAACATCTTACTGAAAGTGTCTTCATTGAATCAATCCCTCCATTTAGAAAAGTACCTCGCTTGGTCTCTTTGTTTTCATTTGTTAAATACAAGGCCAGTTCTCTTTTCTTAATTTTTAATGTTTATTTATTTTTGAGAGGCAGAGATAGAGCACAAGCGGGGAAGGGCAGAGAGAGAGGGAGACACAGAACCTGAAGCAGGTTCCAGGCTCTGAGCTGTCAGCACAGAGCCCGACGCTGGGTGTGAACCCATGAACTGTGAGATCATGACCTGAGCGGAAATCGGATGCCTCACTGACTGAGGCACCCAAGCACCCTGGCAGTGATTCTTAACCTTCCTTGTACATCAGAATCATAAAAGTCTGGGCATATGCTGAAACAGTTTGAGACCCAGTAAATAACTCTGACCAGGAAATACCAGTGGGCAGTGGGCAGTGCAATTATGGGCAAAAATGTTGCAGGAATCTGTTGATGGTGGAGGGTGGGAGGAGGCTTACAAAAATATTAGCAGTGACAAAGAGGTTTTCCAAGGCATGGTCATGTTTCTTGATTTACGTAGCTCTGTTTTTAGTGTATATAATAATTCAACAATTATCTTTAAAACACACATTCACACGAATACTTCTATTTTATACTAAAGGTGCTGAGGAGGTCAAGTAATTTCCATATTTCTCTCCTTGATGTTAAGAACAAGGCTATGCCTCTGGAGCTGACATCCAATAAATACTAATTAATAACTATAATGACTGAGCTACCATATTAGTATAGAATAATTTCAGGGGCTTCCCTCCTGGTTTGTCTGATTCTAAGCTTTTAAAATACCTGTATATATGTCAGAAAATCAACATGAGGGACTCCCCGCAGCAAATTATAATTAATTTGGTACATGTTTAAAACTTACCTTTGGCATTATGAAATAATTGCCCAAGTGAGGGGAAAAAATCCCATTAAAAAGCCCCCCACTTTTAAGTCTTAAAACAGTCAAAGCTGATGTCACTGGTTACGAGTCCAGTTGATCAATAACGTTTCGCAATTTGCACCAACATCTGGGGAGAGGAGCTTAGCACGTCATTCCAAAATGATCAGTACCAAATATGCACACAACGCAAGTGGGTTTTTAATGAAAGTCCTAACTTTTCTTCTCTTACAAATCAATTATTCTCCAGGGTCAAAGTTCTGGAAATCACAAATGCCATCCTCCTAGATACAGGGACTCACGTAAGGGCCACTTGGTGCAACACTCTCAGAGCGGCGAGTGGGTTCTCATAGGCGGCAGGTGCGTTGGACGTATTTTTAACGAACGAACCAAGAGTGTCATGCCATATTATTCTCCCGCCCTAAAAGCGTTAAGAATGGAGTTTCTTACCGACAGCTTAACGCAGTGTTTGCTCCGGCGAGGCCACCTGTTTGGCCATCCCTCGAAGAGAGAGGGGACACGAGCACTTGTGAGGAAGCGTTCTCTCGGCCGAAGAGAAGAGGGCTCGCCGGGCGCCCAGAGCGTGCACTTCCCAGTCTAGGTTCCAGCGCTCGACACTTACCTCCTTTCGGATTCGGTTCGCGCCGCCACAACCCAAGGGATGCAACCCCCTCCTTCCGCCTGGCGCGGGTCCCCTCCACTGCCTGCGGCGGCCGCCTTTGCGGAGCTCGCAGGGGTCGAGCGACCCTCGCACCAGGTCCGCGGGGCCGCCCCCTCTCAGGCACAGGGCCGAGGACAGGGGAGGGGCGGGCCGAGCGCCGTGACGCGCGGAGGCTCCGGCCAATGGGAACGCCCCGCGGCGCCGCCAGAGCCGCCAGCCCATAAATAGGAGGCACTGCCGCGCTCTCCAGCGCTCTGCTGTCCCTGTCTAGGAGAGTGTCACTGGCCTGTCGCCTACTTTCCTCAGGTGATCCTGGCCACAACCTATTGCCTGCGGCCGCCGGTGCAGTTTACTTGCAGTCCCCGAAGCGTCCCAGAGTCCCTCCGGAGCGGCAGCGGCAGGTCCATGGAGAAGGGTCCGGTGCGGGCGCCGGCCAAGCCGCGGGGCGCCAGGTGCAGTAATGGGTTCCCCGAGAGGGAGCCGCCGCGACCCGGGCCGAGCGGGCCGGCCGAGAAGTCGCCGCGGCCGGAGATCAAGAGCGTCCAGCCGGCGGACGGCTGGAAGGGCGAACGGCCGCGCAGCGAGGAGGATAATGAGCTGAACCTCCCCAACCTGGCGGCCGCCTACTCGTCTATCCTGCGCTCGCTAGGCGAGGACCCCCAGCGGCAGGGACTGCTCAAGACGCCCTGGAGGGCGGCCACAGCCATGCAGTTCTTCACCAAGGGCTACCAGGAGACCATCTCAGGTCAGTGCGCCCGCCGGCCGCAGGGGCGCGGAGTAGGTGGCGGCGGGAGGCGCGCGCCGGCTCCGGGAAGTTTCCGGAGTTGCTTCACTCTTGGCGGAGTGAGCCGAGTGCCGTCACCTTCCGCACCCCGCCTTCCGCGCTGGGCTCCGCTGGCCTGGCCTGGAGAGAGCCCTGTGCGGGACGCGTTTCTGGCGCACGGAGAGGCAGCCGCCTCTCGCCCCGGCGGTCCGCGCAGCTGTCCTTGCCGGGTCCTCCCAGCCCTGCGTGCAGCCCTGTCCTTGAACCTTCCGGCGCCCTGGGACCGCGGTCACTGAGCTCCCTGCCAGGTGGGGGGCTGCTGGAGCCCCTTTTGCCTGAGCGTCCAGGGCCGGCCGCTTGACGCACGTGCAGGGCCTACACTTGCCAGGATTTAGGATCACCTGGCCCTTGCGGAAGGGAGGGCTTCCCAGCTCGTCTTTCTCGAGGTCTCACTTTTTGGGGGGTCTGGGGTGAAGCTTCGGCTTCGTCTCTTGGAGCGCTGGGGGTGATCCTTTGTGGCAGACTCCGAGACCCGCACTTTCACTGACTTGCCAGGGGTCACCCGGGTCTTCGGAAAGGTGTAGTGGTCTTTGGTCCACATCGTTAACTCCATCTCAGGATTCCCCCAGGGTTTGAGGCGTGAGTTTCTCGGACTAGTTGGCTGTTTGAAGTCCCCGGTCCCACAGTGAAAGCTCAAAAGCCATAAAGCTACTCCTCGGGGGTCGGGGAGGTTTGCTTGGCTCTGGTACCCGGAATCGGAGTACCTTTAAGCCGACTTTGCCCAATGCTATCCGTGCTTGAGGCGGGTCAGGCTTTCGCCGCCGCCGCGAAGGCCAGAAAGCAGCAGGGGATGGGGAGGGAGAATGGAAAATGAGGATTTCGCTGCCTCTTTCCTGGGTGAACGGTGTTGGTCTTCACAAAAAAGAGAAAGATACGGTCTGACTTCTGCAGCTGGGACCGAGGACGTTGTTTTCCCGTTCAAATCTTCTGTGCCTCTTGGTGACATTTATTTATTTGGCCTGAGAAGCCTCTGGCTTCATCATTTCTCAAGGAATATGAGTGCTGCCTTGCGAGGTAACTTCCCTGTCCCTGTTATTTTTTTGATCACGTATCCGGCGATTCACCCAATGGATCCTGGGAAGAACAAAGTTATTTTTTGCCCAGTCTTCCACACCCCAAAGGAAGGGTGGGAAATCAGTGTGAGAGGGGTGGGGCCCCAAAAGGAAATGATACTACACACCAAAGCCAAGAAGTGGGCCTCTAGTTCTGTGTCCAAGTTCACTTTTCTACCTCTTGATGGTAAAATTTCCAAGTCTCAAGAGCCGAATCTCAAAATGCAAAGACTGAAAAATAAGCAGTCTTCATTTGGTGAATATTCTGTCATTCGGTTATCTTCCACGAGGTAATGAAGAAACCTCTTTTAGGGCCTTGCTCATTCTGCCTCTTGGGGACACTGAAAGCAGTCTCTTCCATAACATTGGTCAGACTTTGGGCATCTTTCCAAATTCACAGAGGGATTCCCGACTCCAAAGACAGGTCACAGAATTGCCTAAAGGTCACAGAATTACCTAAGGTACTCACAAGGTTTATTTAAACAAACGGTGAGCAGAAGTTTGTCTCATGAGCCATAGGGCTAATGAATCCAAAGAACACGTAAGTCTACCTTAGAAAACCGTTTCAGTCAAATGTTAATTTATTACTTAAAAAGGTCCTTGGACCTAGAGACAGAAAGTAGATCAGGGGTTGTCTGGGCCTGAGGAGAGGAGGAGGAGAGAATAGGGAGTGGCTGCTTCATGGGTTTCCTTTTGGGGTGATGAAAATGTTCTGGAACTAGAGAATTGTGGTGGTGTTTGCACAGCATTATGAATGTACTAAAATGCCACTGAACTGTACACTTTAAAATGGTTAAAATGATGAATTTTAAGTATATTTTATCATACTGAAAAAAGTCTGCAGACCATTTAAGAACTATTACTAGCCATTAATTGAATATTTGTGATGCTTTAAGTGCTTTGTGTGGAGAGTCTTGGTTAATCCTTAGTTTTGAGATAAACGCTGTTCTTTTATGCCCATGACAAGGAAATTGAGGCAGACAGTTTGACAGCTTCAAGTGGTAGGGCTGATGTTTGAATTCCCACAGTCAGAATGCAGAACTTATACCTTCTTTCTTATTTTGTATCTTATCTACCAAGTATTTCAAATTATGAGTTGTGACCTAACAGTTGGGTTACCAGCATAAAAACAGGTGGTGTAGGGGCGGATGGGTGGCTCAGTCTGTTAAGCACTGGACTCTTGATTTCAACTCAGGTCATGATCTTACAGTTCATGAGTTCAAACTCCATACCTGGTTCTGCACTCATAGCACAGATAATCTCTGCTAGGGATCCTGTCTCCCTCTCTCTCTCTGCGCCTTCCCTGCTTGCTCTCTCTCTCTCTCTCAAAATAAATAAAATTAAACTTAAAAAAAATAGGTGGAGTGGCAGCTGGGTGGCTCAGTCAGTTGAGCATCTGACTTAGGCTCAGGTCATGATCTCATGGTTTGTGAGTTCAAGCCCCCCATCAGGTTGGGTGCTGTCAGCATGGAGCCTGCTTCGGATCCTCTGGCCCGCTCTCTCTCTTCACCTCTCCCACTCGCATTCTCTCTCTCTCTAAAATAATAAACAGGGGCGCCTGGGTGGCTTAGTCGGTTAAGCGTCCGACTTTCGCTTAGGTCATGATCTCGCGGTTAGTGAGATCGAGCCCCGCATCAAGCTCTGTGCTGACTGCCAGCTCAGAGCCTGGAGCCTGTTTCAGTCTGTGACTCCCTCTCTCTCTGACCCTCCCCTGCTCACGCTGCCTCTCTCTCTCCTAGAAATAAATAAAAAACATTAAAAAAAATTAAAAAAAAATAAAATAATAAACGTTAAAAAAATTAAATAGGTGGAGTAGAATGGAGAAGATGCATTTATAATATGTAGTAAGGATACAAGTTGTGAGGAGCTTCTGAGTTGGTTTCATAGGTGTTTTTTTGGTATGTACTGGCTCCAGATGTAATATATTTCTGAACTGTGGGCTGTGGTCAAAAGTTTGAAAGCCTCTTTCTAGGGGATTACACTTAAGGAATCAATGTATATTTCTTAGAGGGACACAGTTAGAAGACGAAGAGGAGAGCTTAACGAGGATGGTGCTGAACTTAAAGGAATAAACCTCAAAGGGCAGTGGTTCAGGTCTTGGGCCAGCCAAGGTGGTAGAGAGAAGGAAGGAGATTTTAATTCTGCAGCAAATATGACAGAGAGTAATAAAGAAAATCCTGAACAGTCCCTAATTTTTATTTCTTTAGAGAGCATAAGTCTGTGACTACCATAGATTGTTTGGGATAGAAATAAACTTCTTTCAAACTCTCACTGTTCTATCCTTGTAAACAAGATACTCTGTACTTTTATATCTGTCTATAGTAACTCCTGGTTAATGGTGTTGACTTCAGTGTTGTTAAATAGAAAATTCCCCAAATTATTCTCTGTATTATTTTTTGTTCCTCCTGAGTGGATTGATGCTAAATTCTGGTGTTCTGGGGAGTTTGTCATTTCTTCCCGCACTGCCCCTTCTCTCCATGACCCTTGCCTAGTGTACCTTTCCTCTACTTTCCAGTGTGTACCTTACCATGGGTACATCTGTGATCACTGAAGGTGGGGCTGTGTCAGGGTTGTGCAAGTCTCCTGGTTACTGTTCACCACTGGGCTTTAGCTTGTAGGCTGGAGGGCGTTCTGAAAGAGATACTGTCACCTCTCCCAGGGACCGGCTCTCTCTTGAATCTGGCATCACACGGTGATTCTTGGGCCGGGTGGTCTTTATCTGTTGCTGTCCAATTTCCGTTTAACCGCATCCTAGTTTTCTTATGTATTCAGAGTTTACCTTGATGAGGTCTCCTTTCTCAATAAGGGATCTTTCCTGTATTTCCAATATTTTGTTCAGAACCTTAATTAGACTGGAGGGTCTACTGTTCTCTGGGGTTCCTGGTCTTCTTGTCCCTGTGTCTAATCCTTTCTATTCCCTGTTCCCTCCTGGGTGTAAATGGGAATAATTCTTAAATAGCATTATCTACCAAAGGTTAAGTGCATATGACTGTCTCATCAATTGTCTTCCTTATGAGTTTATGGGAACACTCAAGAGTCTTGACTCTTCTGTCACATTTTTAGTTAAAGTAGGTTTTAGCTTATCTCATCCAGGATGCCAAAGCAGTTCTCATAAATCAAGTTGACAGTGTCCCAAATTTTGGGAAGTTTGTGAGCATGTATATAATGTAGCAGGAGGAGATGGTACCACAGGTGATGGACTTCTTAACTGTCTTCCCACCAGGGTTAAGGAGTCTTGTCCCAGCCTCAATCATTTTTACTGTGAGATGATACCTATTCCTTAAAGATAACACAGGGCAATTAGACACTTTGTTTATACAAAAATGAGTCTTAGCCACTTCATGCTGAATGTGCTTAGCACTCACAAAGATTTTTTTTTAATGTTTTATTTATTTCTGAGAGATAGAGAGAGAGCAAGCGAGTATGAGCAGGGGAGGGTCAGAGAGAGGGGGAGACACAGAATCAGAAGCAGGCTCCAGGCTCTGAGCTAGCTGTCAGCACAGAGCCCGACGTGGGGCTCAAACCCACGAACCGTGAGATCATGACCTGAGCCAAAGTCGGACGCTTAACCAACTGAGCCACCCAGGTGCCCCATAAAGATTTTTTTTTAATCATCAATCTTTGCGATTTACCAAATCAGACTAACGAAGAACTAAAAACTGTAACAATTTATGAGGTATGAATGGGGCAGAAAGTCAAATTATTTACTATTCCTCCCATATTATGGGTGAAAGGTGAGTTTACGTTCCAAGTTTGAAAGTATATTAAAGAAAAGTTAATCTCATTATTGAGGTGCTATTTTTGGATATTTGTAGTTCATTTAAATCTTGATTCACTAATAATTTTTGTTTTGTTTTGCTAATGAATACT